CATCCATTGTATGCGTATGGCTTAATGTTTTTAACCATATTTGAATTTATACCTAAATTATCATATCTTCTTCCTTTGATTTTCTATGGTGATGCGACTTCACAATTAAATATTTTCTCACTTTACCTAACCCAGATCAAGTATACAGCCTATTTGTAGACCCACTCTTCGTAAAATGAATATTTCCAAGACTAAATTAGCCAAGTAATGGGTTAGTAGCAAGGGGCACTTACATTGCTTTACTCCTGGTGATCTGGTTAGGCGATCAGATGAACTTGAAACAAAGTCTAGAATGAGTAATAATAATCCTTTAAAGCGCACGGCGCTGCAATACAAGGTATTCTATTATACCAAGTATATACTTAGTATTGTTATCAATCCTTGTAACAGTGCCGGAAGACCCCCTAGCCTCCGAGATCTTGTCTAGTCTCTCCATCTCTGGCCCCATCTTCCCCTTCACCTGCACTGTGCCAGTTTCTACAAAACCTAGTTATTTAAACTAAAGGTTCTCCAGTTATATTTTATCGACTTATAAGGTTTAGGCAATACATTCCTCTTTCAACAACTCGAAAATTGCTCTACCGCTTACATAGTTTCACTGCTGATTAAGCGCCATCCTTTTTTTACATATGCTAACTCTCCAACGGACATCAAAATGCTGTTTATCCTGTCCTCCAGGGGCATTTTCCCTGATCACTTTACTTTATATAGCCAGTACGATTCTGTTGAGATTACCATATCGACCATTTTGTCTTTCCTAATCATTTTATTTAGTCTTTCATCTTGATTGTTCGGGCTTGTACTGGTGTCGAGCATCCTCTTATCACAATGTCGCTAGACCCACCGATTATTTCTGCTTTGCAAATAGTAGATATCGTGGCATCTGCAATCCAATCAAGTATTTAGATACTTATTTTTTATTTGTATTTCATGCTAGATTTTCATTAGACCCAATCATCTAAAAGACATATCGTTCATTATTCTCTTTCTATTTCTTAATTTATTTGTGATTTTGATTGTTGTTGCAGTTTGATTTAATTTCCTACACTATTTTGAGGGCTGTTGCTGCTGTAGATGCTATTGCCTTTAAGTGAGATTTTTTCTTGTAAATATGAGTGGGGTTTTTGTGTACACAACTAATATATGTACTAAAAAATAGCATTACTATTATCAATATCAACTTCATATAATATATCACAGTTCAAAAACTCAAAAGGCAGTATTTTTCATAAAGGTTAAGATTTGATGGTTTCACTCTAATCTCTTGTTAGCTAGTTTAGCTTCGCATTTATTTTTCCATTGTCTCAGACCATGAACCCAAATTCGTATTTCCTTTTGAGCCCAACCCACAAAGTTTTATATCTGAGGCATATTTTCTTACTAATGTTCAAATTTCTATTTTTAACTATACGCAAATTTTTATAACTAAACTTATAAGAGGTTGTTTGATCTTGTTTTCGAAACTTGCCCATATTGACCGCAGGACCTAATTAAAACAAATAGAATCGCAACAATTGTGAGTTGACACACAAGAGACTAGGGCATAGGAAG